CTTCACATCCCCTAGCTGCTAGCACCGTCCTCCTCCAAACTACCTTGTACCTTTTTGGGGCATACATTTTATTTATATTCTTAGGTATATATGTGGTGTGTCCTTGCTAAGGGCAGGGGATCCTCAGCACCTAGCACAGTGCCTGGCAAACAGGAGGTGCTTAATAAAAGTTGCTCACTCGATTGGTTGATCTCATACCACCTCTTCACTGCAAGCTGAGCACCAGAGAAATGATTTTCCCAAGGTCACATAGGTAGGAAGGGGAAGAAGAACCGAAATTCCTCTGCTTTGATCTACTTGTCCAGGAAGTTCATCACACCCCTGACCAGTGACAGGGTCTTCAAGTGTCAGAGAAAACACTTTTGGTAGAGGAGGGAGAGAATGTAGATTGACAAAGCTATTTCTTAAGGGTCAATGGGGCTACCAGGATGTTCTCAGGGGCCACTGATATTGGTTCCTGGTGCCAGCAGTGGGTACCATCCTCATGGTGTCCTTGTTCATTCAAGGAGGAGCTATGGGCCAGTGAAAAGAATACAGTTTTAGTGTCCAAAGTCCCAAGTTCAAATCCTATTCCCTCCATTTGCTCCCTATATAACCTTAGGCAAGTCCCTTAAACTCTCTGGGCCTCAGTTTCCTCATCTGTAAAATGAGAGAATTGGACTTCCAGGTTGAAATCTGTGATCTTGTGATTCTGGTTTTTTCCCCCTCAAGGCTCCTCTTGGCTGCCTTGTTGACTTTCTGGGGGCCCAGTGCTCTTAAAATCTTTGGGGCTTTTAGTGAAAGAAAAAATTTCAATCTGAGCTGGAAAAAAAAAAGGCACATTAAACTTGAAGCTTTCATTAATCAGGGCCTGACAGAGCCAAAGTGGAGCTTTCATTGCCTCTGGGCAACATCTGCAGCAAAACCAGGAAACAAAAGGATGGAAGAGCTGAAGCAGGCTTGTTGGCAGTCTTTGCTCCATTATGACCACCGTATGTAGGGTTTCATAGGCAACATAATTAATTGCCATTTCAATAAACATTTGCAAATCCCGTTAACCTTATTAAGTGTTTGGAGTAGGAGTGAAACCTGAGCACATTTCCAGAGATAGGGTACAAATGGAGAGGCACAATGAATTTATGTCCAACTCAACTGATCTGTGTTTTTAAGTTCTTTCTGCATGTATCATGGCAAAGATATAAAACCCACCTGACATCTGTAGTCTTAGCCCTGGCAATTCTCCATAACTAAATAATGTATGTGTTTCTTTTCTATTGGAAACAGCCAGGAAAACTGTAATGAACTGAAAAGACAATGTGAAGTTTCCCCAGTTGAATGAAATGTGGTCAACTAACTATAAGAAAGGGGCAGCTCATTACGATAAACTCTGTTCCGGTCATCATATAAGTGGCAGAGCTGTAACTTGGGTGGGGTAACCAGAGATTTTCCCCAGGGTGCCAAAATTTAAAGGGTACTAATGGTACCTGCCAATTACTTTCAAAAGAGTAGAAAGAACTGAGATTAACAGCCATTTAGCAAATAGAATTTGAGCCCCCTTCTAGCAGCTCATGCCCAGGTGAGCTCCTTTCTGTCCTATCCCCTCTTCATTGTGCATGTTGCTTCCAGCAAGCTCAAAAATTGCTGGTTATGGTTTTGATGGACAGGAACTTTCTCATATCTGGTATGGCTGTATATACAATAACCAGGTCTGGTCTCACTAATATCAAATGTATAATAATCCCTGATGTCTTCTTTTTACTGTACTTCTCGAAAGAGCTGTGTGATTTTAAGAGTACTTTGGATCATCCATCATACGAGATTATAAACCAAGTAAGATATCATCGGACATTCTAATTCCATCTTGAGAGAACCCTTCACGTATCCCAAGTCTTCGTTTTATTGACACTTGGCGTCCACAGTCAGAAACCTGTAGAAGTGGCTTTGTCAGAGTCAAAGGTTTTGTGTAGTCTTAGATTTTCAATAAAAAAAAGTCTTCAAGATGATTTATTTTCTCTTAAGTCTGTTTCACCTTCACAGACCCTCTATGAGGTTATGCTTTTGTTGTTCAGTTGTTTCAGTCATGTCCAACTCTTTGTGACCCCATTTGGGGTTTTCTTGGCAAGGACACTGTCGTTTCCTTCTCCAGCTCATTTTACAGATGAGGAAACTGAGGCAAAGAGGATTAAGTGACTTGCCCTGGGTCACACAGCTAGTAAGTATCTGAGGTCGGATTTGAACTCAGGTCCTTCTGACTCCAGGCTGGGCACTCTGTCCACTACACTACCTGGCTGCCAATCTATGAGGTAGGTAAGGCAGATATTATACCCACTTTATCAACATGGAAACTGAGGCCCAGAATATCTGAAAGGAGGCTGCATTTGGTTCAAATCCCAGCTCTGCTACTTACTACCTTGGGCAGGTTACAACCTTTCTAGACCACCATTTCCTCCTCCATAAAATGAAGAGGTTGCACTTGGTGATCTCTGAAGTCCCTTGCAATTCTGAGTCTATGACCTAACCAGCTGGCTCATGGAGGCGTCAAGGTTAAACTCCAGGCCTTCTGGCTCCCTTAGCCAGTGCTTTTCTATGTCATTTCCAAAATTGATATATATCTTTGCCATAAATCAGGGGAAAGAGACCTAAAGACCCCATAGCTGAGAACCAATCTGATTAACCTTTAGGAAAATCCAATTCGGGAACTCAGCCATGCAGGGCACATCTTTGTTTTTGCTATTTAAGAACATTAGGACTGCCATCCTGAGTCAGAGTGGGAATGCAATGTGAAAGGGCTGCCTTTTAGAATGTCAAGCTCAGAAAGTCAGAGTGGTTTCCTAACTTGTCCAATTTTCTGTTAACAACCAAAATCTTGAAATTTTTAGAAGAAAAATAATGATCTTCACTAAGAGCCAGCCATGCTTAGGACAAATTCATCTGGGGGGAAAGGAGCATGAGGGAAACCTTAGAAGTGTGGCCCCAAGAACAAGACAACATAAGACAGTGCCTCATGGTGTGGAGACCAACCTCTATGAACAGTGATCCAAGACATCATTGCTGTAGGAAGAAGCAGGGTGAGGTAGGGTTGGGGAGAGGCTCACCTGGGATGTGGAGGTAGTTATCATCTGATCACTTCCCATTTTAATGAGTTATTATTGCTAGGTGCCAGACTCAACTGTTTCTAATTGCTGAAGCATTAGGATATGCCCTCTACACTTCAGCACCCTGGGGCAAAGCTCTTGCTGTTCTACCCCAGTTAGAGATCTTAATCAATCAATAAACACTTATTGAACACTATTATATGCCAGGTACCATACTAGGTATTGTATTCACTATCGATTTTTCATATCTCTAAATATTAAAGTTGAATCTCGGACCATTACTCTTAAGATACCCCCTTCTGGACAATTTTCATTCAGTAACAAATGATGAATTCATTCAGATCACATACCTAGATACTCATATCTACCTGGCTTGTGACAAAGACTAAGATGGAGTTATGGCAAAATAAGATGTATGATACAGGTGTCAATTCTTTAAAAATCTATATTTCTGCTATTTCAGGTGATAGAGTTGAAGTTCAGAGCTGTCCACCCACCCTACCCAGAATCCCCAGGACACAGAAGCCTCTGCTGGGCCATTCCACATACTCTTTCTCTTAATCCTGGCAAAAATGGACATTTCTGTCACATTTTAAAGTTTGCAAAGTCTCAGAGTCATAACTAGCTATTACCGTGCTTGGAGCAAATTTGTAGTAACAGAGGAGGAGCCCAGGGAACATTATGACCGTAGCTGCTATTATGCTGGGAAAAGGGAAGTCTGTGACCTGGAGTCCAGTTCTCATTCTCTCCCCACCCCAACCTGTGGGGAAGGCAGGCCCTGGGTGGTAAGTAGGAGGAGGGTGGGCAGGTAAGTTGGAAAGTCAGAAAGATGGAGGTAGCTACCACCCTACTGGTGAGAAAACACACCTCCCTTTCCCCTTCTCCCAATGTCATACTTGTACCCTGAGGCAAAGCCTCATTTACCTCAGGCTAGTTAAAGCATTTGTATATGCATTATCTTACTTAAGCTACCCATTGGCCATGCCAGGTAGGTTCTGCAGGTATTATTATCCCTGTTTTTCCAATGAGGACAACATGGCTTAAAGTACTTACGTGACTTGTCCATGGTCATACTAAAGTGGATTCTGAACTTATACCACATTCCTTTCTCCTTTGACCACCCAGCTCTCAGGGCCTAATGAAGCTAAACTTTGGTCCTCCTTCGTGTCCATCAGAGCCAGAGCCACACTGCTTCTAAAATGAAAACCAGCTGATGTATGTGGTTGATTGTTGCCCTCATTCTTGAAGAGGAACAAAATGACATCACCATGTTGGGGGTCAAGGTACAGATGTTGTACAGACCTTGTACAGATGCCATACCTGATGTATATAGTATGCTAATGGGAGAAGAGTTTGGCAGTACCTCAAGGAGGAGGAGGGACTCCTTTAGGTGCTAAGCCACAGGTTTAATGATGGCAAAGGCCTTTTATATGCAATAGATCATTATTTGTACTAATTTGTCTAAAATAAATAACCAAAGTTTATAAGCCAACAGTGATGAAATGGACATAAAATCTCTCCAGCATCCACTGGGGGGAAAATTCACATAAAAAATTACTTTCAGAGGATAGTACCCAGACTGGCTAGCCTCCCTTGAAAAACTGAATCCCTGGCATTGTACCCTTGATGGTAGGCCCTTGACAGAAATATTTGAGACAAGACAGGTGGTAACTTCTCTGGATAAGTAACTTCTATAGATAAGTCAAGACCTAGGTGCAGAATTCTAAGACAATGGGAGCGGTACCCAATTTTGATAGACCTCCAACCTGTTTACCAATGTGCAAGCTGAGCCACTTCCCCAAAGAACAGAAACAACCCAAATAAATTTTTCCTGCCTCTAAGTCTTATGCTCAGAACCATTTAAGATGGAAGAGTTAGCTGTGGGCCTATAGATGGTTGGTGTCTGGGTTTAGTCTCAACACTTACTCATCTCCAATGTAGAGTTTGGGCCAGACCTCATTGACATGGGTGTACTGGGGACTGCCCTTCCAAAAGAGCCGCTCCAACTCAAAGGCCCCTGGCGTGATGTAGTCATCTTCTGGTTCTTCTTTGCTAGATCCATAGGCCTTTTTCAGACTGGTCTTTGACTGTCTTGAAGTCATCTTTTTGCTAAGAGATTTTTTGATTCTCTTCACAGGCTATCAAGAGAAAAAGACAGGAGTGGTATGAGCAGGACACCCACCAATGGGAAAACACTCTTTCAGAAAGGGTAGGAGGCCAATTTGGGTGAGGGAAGCTGAATTTAAAAGCTAGAAAGGCTCTGCCCCAACCTAATATGCCCCTTCTTCTCAATCCCGAGTCATCCAGGGTTGGGGTCTAAATAAACAACGAAGGCCATTATTGGCAGTTGAACAGTGTTTTCTAAACATTCCAGACTCCCCAGGTACAAGGGCATGAGGGGCCTCATTTGCATAACAGAACATAGACTGAAACTTATATCAAAAAACTGGGGAGGGTTCGGTCCAAGAAATCTTAGAAGGTACCACCTCTCTCCAGTTTTTATCTTTGTTTTTGTTACTTCTTCAAATTGGAGGAGACGCAACTGCCCATCCCCAAATTACCTGACTTTCCATACCTACAGTAAATCTATAAAGAACAAAATGAGAGGAAAACGACTCATTCGTGTAACAGACACACCTATTGTCTGTTACATCAACCATCAACCTGAAAGTCTTTTTTTTTTATCCCTGACAGTTCACTTAGGGAGTGTGCACGTATGTGTCTGAGAAGCCATACAAACTAGCACAGGTCCCTAGTCCCAGGGCTAAAAGGAAATTAAGTTGTGGGTTAGTCCTTTTTTAATGACCATTCAGGTTGCTAATGTTTTCTCTCTGAGATATTAGTTAAGTGACCTCTTCAGTTACTTCCCGCATTCCAAGGAAACAAAACCCATTTTGAGACCTGAAAATCTATTTAAATGTCTTCTTCAGGTCAACAGGGAACTTGGGATGAGTATGGACTCTGCTGTTTATTTTCTATGCGACCTTGGATCACTTAACCTTTACAGATCCTGAAAGTTTTACACAACCTCTAATGTTCTTTTCAGCTCCAAATTCTGTGTGTTTGTGTGATATCACTAATATTACTGGAGAGAAGCTGTTTCCCCAATCACCAACCTCCCCCCAATCCTTACCCTGGTGGGACAGCAGGTCAGCCCCTCAAACAGAGTGCGTGGTGGCCTCTGAAAAGTGATGTTCTTCACTGCACAAGAGCTGAGCTCTAAGTGAGTAAGGAACCCTTCCTTCAGCCATAAACCTTTGGGAAAGAAAAGAAAAGTCTAAGTGGTTCTATGGTTTGTTGAGCACCAGGCACTGAAAAGGTGTAACTAAAGAGTCCCATTGGAAAATGGAAGGAAATAAGACTGAAAAAAAGAGTAAGTTTTTGTTATCTAGTCCCAGTTAGTGTGGAGGGCAGTTTGGATGAGGAACACTTTTCATTCCCTTCCCTGAGGAGAAAGAACCTATTTCTACCCCGCTGAGATGGGTGGGCTGAGGAGGTGACCTCATCTTCCTCCTCCCTGGTCTCACCAGTATGTGGAAGGAAAGATTTGGCAAAATCTCTTATTATTACTCTATTGAGAAAACAAAACTGTATGGATAATAGATTTATATGAATTTGGAACTGGCTGAATAGCCATACCCAATGAATGTTAGCCTTGGAAGGAGGTCCCTGGAGGATGAATACCCAATTTTGTCCTTAGCTCTATTCTGGTTGACGTTTTAGTCAATACCATTGTCAGTGGCAAAGGGTCAATTCAACAAAAATTGACTAAACTCCTACTCTTTGCCAAGCATGGTCCTAAGCCCTGGGGATGCAGAGACAGAAATGCAACAGTGTTTTCTAAACATTCCAGACTCCCCAGGGAGTCTCAAGGAGCTTATGTTCTATTGGAAGGAAACAACACCTGTATAGAAAATTAAATACAAAATATACGAAGTGATTTCTGAAAGGAGGGCACAGATCTAATACAAAGGTCAATTTGTTAACAAGCTTCTAACTCTGAACCCTTTCACTTACTGTCCTCCGGTCCTGAAACGCCCTTCTTCCTCACATCTACCTCCTGGCTACCTCCAAGTCTCAGCTAAACCTGTCTTCTGTAAGAAACTTTTCCCAGGGGCAGCTAGTTGGCACAGTCAACAGAGCACTGGCCCTGAAGTCAGGAGGACCTGAGGTCAAATCTGACCTCAGACCAAACACTTGACATTTGCTAGCTGTGTGACCCTGGGCAAGTCACTTAACCCCATTGCCTAGCCAAAAAGAAAAAGAAAAAAAGAAAAAGAAGAAACTTTTCCCAGTCTCCTTCAGTGCTCCCCTCTGAGACTGCCTCCAATTCACCCTGTATATGTACATAGTAGTTGGCCTACTGTCTCTCTTTTTACTGAGCTCCTTGACAGCATTGGGGCCTTTATTTGTGACCCCAATGCTTAGCACCATGCCTGGTACATATTGTTGACTAACAGAAAACAGGAAATTCCAGAAAGTTCAATAGAAGGTCAGGGTAGCAGGAGATAAAGAACATGTTTATCAAAATTATAGATAGTATGAAGCCAGGAGGAATAGCTACCACATTGGAGAACGGAATTAAGATTAAAAAAGATGTTGATAGACTACCACGATGGGCCCAGTCTAATAAGATAAACTTTAATAGAAATAAATATAAATTTCTAACTTTAGGTTAAGAAAAATCAGTTTTATAAGAATGGGATAAGGGAGTAGTAGCTCAATGAAGATTCATCTAAAAAAGCCTGGGGAATTTAATGGGAATTTAACGTGCCCTTTCACATTATGAGTATTTTCTTCCAATAAAGCTTCCTTTAATTTCTCCCTGCTGTCTCCCATCATGCTGTGCTGTGTTTTGTGGTTCTACCCACTCCCTGCCTCACCAGTTTACCCCTTTAAAAATATCAACCATCACCCCAGCTGACACTTAATGGCCTTGCAAGGTCTCCTATTTCCCAAGTCATCTATTAGGGAACATGAGACCAGGACCATGTTCCTGGATCTGGAACTCATGCCCTGGTTGGATCTCCCTACCTTCCCCCCCTACACCAGGGCTCTGACACGGGTCCAGCCTCAACAAGGCTCCTTGGGCTCTTTCCCCTGGCAGAATAAATAGCATACGAGGGAGATTGTATTGGGTCTTGGAACAATGAACCTCACTCAAACTCTATTAAGCCAAACCAGTCACTTAACCTCTCAATGTTCTTGGCCACTCTCTAAAACTGAGTTAGATTGGCAGGGGGTTTCTTCCCTTGGGAACTGTTTATGTACAAAGTGTCACAAAAGTAGTGGAATCCCAAAAGGTTTCAGCTTTAATGGTTTTTAACTGCACAAAGGCTTTTGGGACACCCTGTATTAATTACATCACAGGTCTAGCCTTTATCCCTATTAATTGAAAAGTAAGCATATGATTTGCCTATTGTGATCATTCTTTCAGTCACTTTTTTTAAGTGTAGTAATAAGGTCAGGGATTTTTTTCCCCCAAGGTATCTTCCCTTCTTTCATAGATACCTTAGGAACTGTTGTCTCAACAGACTCAAAATTTTCTGCTGTGTTTACTCAGTCGAGTCCAGCTGCTTTTTCCATCTTGGTTCTCTTCAGTGCTATTTCCATTTCTTTGGGTAGCACGTCTGAAACTATGATGGGAGTGTCCGCCATCCTTTCAAAGCCCTACTGACTACCCAAGGAGACTTCTGAGGTACATATTATTGAGACAAGGAAGGTCTGGGGTGGGTGGATTAAATGTCATTGCCCCCAAACCTCAGTCTCCTTCCCTTGCCAACTTTACCCTCTATGGGGTCGTATCTCCCACTCTGTACTGTGTATAGAGTTGAGGGGAAAGGAGGGTGAAGGAGGATGGAGAGGAGAAGAGAAATTTCCCCATCCCAGTGACTGAAATACTCAGCTTAATTTCCAGACAGAATAGGAAGTAATGTGGTTTAACCAAAACAGGATGGCATGCATTGGAGTTCTGGAACTCATTAACATCAAGTGTGGGGAATCTGAAGGGGGGAAGGGAGCAAATCTTATAGCCATCCAGAAACCGCAGACCTACAATTCCATCTTAAAAGCTGCTCTGTATGAATCCCACTGAGCAGATCCAAAACCTCTGACTTTCAGAGAGTCAAGTGAAGGTTTCTTTCCTGTAACATGGCAAAAATTAGAAAGGGAATCAATTGGTTTTGTTTGGTTTCCACAGACTGGGCCTACACTTCACAAATGGTCCAAAGAGCTTAGTCTTATGTGGCAATGGATAAGTATCATAAGAGAAAGACTTTTATCTGAAAAAGGCCTTGAGGTTGCTGTTATCTCTCCATACAGCAGGGTTTGGTCTTAAGAAGCCACATTGCAGCTCTAAATGCTGCCCCATGAGTATGTAGAATCAGTCTATTTTCTCATTGACCTCTGTAGCCATGTTTTTCCCTTCTTGGAATTTCTCCTCTCTCTGGCATCATCCTTTTTCTGGTTCCCCTCCCACCTTTTGGGTCAATCCCTCTCTGTCTCCTTTGTTGCCTCCCCCTGCCCCCAATTTCCTAACTACATATATTCCCTAGGTCCAGTCCTTCTCCCTCTCCTCTGTCTCAATGTACTGATTGTACTGATCGTCTCTCAGTTACAGTTGTCATGTCTATACCTCTCCAGTCTGTTATCTACAATCCTCAATTCCCACCTAAGATCCTGTATCTCCATTTGCCTTCAGGTCATCTCCACAAGAGTGTCTTTCCATGACGTCAAAATCAGCATGTACCAAACCGAGCCCACCCTTGTTAAGAGAGGACCAGAGGCTTGTTGAGTACTCTTTTTTTTTTTTTATGTTTATCAAATCTAAGGAAATAGTACTGCAGCAAGCAGGATGGAAGAGTGGATAGTGCACTGAATCTGGAGTCTAGAAGGCCTGGGTTCAAATTTTATTTCTCAATCTTACTCTCGGACTATGGGCAGGGTCTTTCACCTTTACAGCGTAGCCCCAATAGACCTTTCCAATTTTATTACATACGTTACTCCCACTTCCTGCGCTCCACAGTCCAGCCAAAGTGGCCGTTGTGTTGGCCCTCATATGCAAACTGCACAAGTTGTCTATGCCCCATGCCCAGAATGTACTTCCACTCCCCCTCCG